ATATATAATTTATTTATTTGTTAGTAACTATAGCCTTTTTCAGTTTAATTCTCTTAAAAGTTTTTAATATCAAGACGATAAAAAAATTTGTTTGCCACTTTTTATATAGCAAATTAATAAAAATATTGTTTTCATTGTAAATATATGTCTTTACTTTAATGTTTTGTTAAAATGTTTATATTTATATACAAGGTGTCCCAAAGTCTGGATCCATAGGCAAAAATGTATTTTAAAGTTTTATTACAGTAAATGTTCAATAGCCTACATGACATTTGTGTATACTCTAAACACAAAAATGTTGAACATTTCTTAACATAGAAGAACTGATTTTTTTCCCTTTAGTGCAATGATTACTCTGGACCTATTCTAATAGACTAACCTTAAATCACTCTAAAAACAAGTCAAATGATATTAGGTCTTGAGACTTGGTGAGGTTCAGTTGAATGGCCTCCTTTCTGATCCACCTGTTTGGGAAAGTTTGATTTAAAGAATTTCAATTTTAATGTAAAAAAAAAAAAAAATGCCTGTGGATCCAGTCTTCTGGGACATCTTGTTTAATAAAATAGATATATGTTTTGTTATAAATTTAATTACAGAATTTACACGGTAATTCATAAAGGTCTTAGACAAACTTTAAAAATAGGTCAAGAATACAAAAACAAATCACTTAACTAGTAACTTATAGTTGTAAACATCACCCAAGAAGTGCAGGGATATACATAAAGTGTTAGGCACCATCACTGGAGATAGAGAATAGATGGACTAATGCCACTACTAGAAATTTACATACTAATACATGAAAACTAGAGGAAGGTATTAGGTGCCATCTCTATTGATGGCACCTAACACCTCCCTCTAGTGACGAATTAATCAGCAATTCATAATTATTATTGCTGATATTTAGCCTGATATCATACGGCAGTAGGTGTAGCTTTGTCATCCTGTATATTCAAACAAAGCTGCAAAATTAATTTCAGAAAATATGTTCAATAAATGTTTTTTCTCCATTAAATATTTTGAAATTAAGCAATTCTTATTACAAACATTGACTTGTGTATGCAATAATTCTCTTTGAACTCAGTCTATATGTAATATACCAACTTTTATATTTCATCAACTCTTATTACATCTTGTTTAATTATTATTAAAAATTAATTTAATAAGAAATGTTAATAAATATATATTTCTAATCACCATAAAAAAAGACTATTCTGATTTGATCTCTAGCATTAAGTAATTCTTTCATGCTAGAGAGCAAATTAGAATACGTCCATGAACAAATAATGACAAAACAAAATTTCTCTTCCAATAATAAGTTTCTCATGTACTATTAAAAAGTTATTGAGCAATACACTACTTATATAATACAAAGTTTCATTTGAATAATCATTTTAATAATTGCTTTCAAGCTTTTAAGCATTAAGAAAATATAAAAAAAATATAGAATAATATGCTTGTGATATATGAAAATCATTCAGCAAAAGCATAGTATAAGATACGGCTTAAACTTTTTCCATTCACAACCACCTTTAACTGAGAAAATTGTGTGAGATCCTTCTATTTATATAGGTATGTAAGACAGATATAAAAAAATAGGTATACAATTAAAATGATTTACTAATAATAAATCATAATACAACTTATTCTAAAACAGTTCTTTGATATGTATATCATTTTACCATTTATTAAAGACAAAAGCAAATTTACATACTAATAAGATGGATGCAATTGTTTACTTTTACATAAAGAATTAAATTTTGCTGAATATTTGATAATACAGAACACAGGGCATCTTTTCAACATTTTTTCAGAGTTGTCCAACATTTTTATTTTATAATCATTGATTCCAAACATATGCTTTGCATAAATAAATAGTACAAAATCTTTCACAATCCCCACATTCATTTTTGCGATCCTCCTTTGAGTTCACGACCCAGTTTAAGAAATCATGGTACAGTGTATTTTAAAATATGCAATACATTAAATTTACTTTTAACAGATTACAATCATAACTTCTTTTTTAAATGATAATTTATACTAACATTTCAGAAAGTAGAGAGCAAATATATTAAAGTAATTTTGAGTTATTACTACTACTTTTGATTAATAATTGCAGAACTCAACAAAATTATAAAAAATGTTGATTCTTCTCTGTTAACAAGATGCCAGTTGTAACTGTAATTCAATGCATGATACTGCTGTCTGCATTGTTCCACTAAGACTATCATGTTTAACTATTTAGTCCATGTGACTGTGCCGACTTTGAGTAACCCAATTGACTGTTTGTGGTGTACTTGATGTTATATAATTTTATGGGGATGTGGGGGCTTGCCCCCCTGGGTGCTGAGGTGTGAGTAATAGTGAGCATCGAAGCACATGACTATATGCAAAGCATGTAGAATAGGCAGTATACTGATACATGTAAAAACCTTGGACTATCTTGTGAAGAGTCAACAATTCTGGGGTGGTGCAAAATCCATTGTTTAAAGCTTGAATCTTACCATATTGGCTGCCATCCCATTAACAGAGAAGTACCAAAATTTTATTGAAAATCTCCTTTCATTACTGTTGACTATGCACATAATAATTTTGAAAACATTTTTTAATATTTCATTTGAATTTTACAAAATTATTACAATAATAAAACTGGTCAAAAATAATGAAATGCCTTTAGGCTTTCTCCCTAGAAATTTGCTGTGCTGACTGATACTGTAGCCATTTACATACCAATAATAAAAGGATTGAACTATACTCAAAATGCAATCTGAAATCATATTTTAAAAAGTTTTAATCATTTTAATATTTAACCACTATAAACATGATTCACCCACTAACAAAATAATTCATCAAGTACTTTTAACACATGCTAGCATAAAAACTTTTAATAAACAAAATTGTTTCTTGTTATTTTTTATTTAAGAACTATTCTAATTAGGTAAATTACTACATTTTTCACTTTATAAAGATTCAAGAATTTTTGGGCCTAAAATTTAATAATAGTCTTTTACTGTGAAAATGTTTTTCCTCCCAAAACCCAAATGAAAAATGTGATGTATCCAACACAATGGAAAATTTTATAAGGCAAAAAATATGGTTAATGATGCTTAACATTCTATCTATAAATGAAATGTTACATTTGAAAAAAATGTTTAGTTTATCTCTTACTACTTAATTACTTCAGTTAAAAGGAATGCAGAAGAATCAATGCATTTTAGTCATCTTTTCTTACCTGAAGAGTAAAACCAAAGGAGCCATTCTTTCTTTCTACTATGATAGTACGCCTTCGACGATCTTCGTCAGGTTTCGTGACTATTACTCTATCATTTTTCATTCTTTCTAAGATTTGATGCTGTAAATTAGCAAAAATAATAATACATTCATCAGTTTCTTTCATTCATCGCTTTACAGTTTTACTTTTAAATATCAATTGTATTGAATATCAAAAGCATTAATGAATTTTATCACATTTAAATTAATAAACTCAACTTTCTTTTTAAAAGACATCATTGGAAATTAATTGGTGAAATCAACATATGACTTTCAAAGGGATGATGATGTTCACATAATTATCATATAATTCAAAAACAAACTGCACATTTTTTCTCAACGTTTTCATACCAACATTAAATTATTCTGGAATTAAGATAATCTTAATCTAATGGTGAATTTTCTATTTTATTAATATAATCAAAAACTAATTTTATTTCAAATAAATAAATAAATCTTAATGCTGAAATATTTTAAAATATACCATAAAATAAAAAAATATAGCAGATTAGTTATTGCACCACTATTAAAAAGGTGCAGTACTTAGTTCAATAAGTTATCACAGTAACAGGGGTCCCAACTGCATAGTGCCAAAATTGCCACTTGGTGATATTTTTATTAAAGTAACAATAAAAATATAATACTGGTGATAAAAACCCAGTTGGCTTCAGTGTGAAATTGAATTGCAAATCACAGTTCAAGAAAATCAGTAGAATGTCAAGCTTCCATGCAATGGGAGTCCCGTGAAATCATGCACTACACCCATACCTGACAATCTTGTGCCATTTCTGTCTATCCAACACTTTTCTTTTGCTTTCCAGATGCCAAACTGATAAGGTTACCAGCACCTGCATTAATTACTGTAGTAAGTAAAATTGGTGGTGATAGATAATTTTATGTGGTGGAAAAAAAATTTTTTTAACTGGCAAATGGTTGGCAAAATTTTCCAGAGTGACCCCTGCAGTAACCAGTATATTATCTAATAATATTTGAAGACAAGTTCGCCCAAATAGGGATCATCATTTTTCTCTTTTGCGTTCTAGACAGTACATTTCTGGCGACTGACCTTCCTTTCTAGGCTACTAGCTGCCAAAAAGTTTTAAAAAAGTCCTTTTGAAAAAATACAAAAAGATTTCTAATTAAAAACACAAAAATTTTCTAAAATCAGAACTGGTGTTATACGAACATCTGTCTTGTTTGTTACCATCTGTACTATCTCGAGGGTGTTTCGGCCTTTTATCCACAGAAGTATATTATCATCATAAAAACATATTTATAATAAAAGAAATTGCCTCGTACAATTTGAAACACTGTACATTAAACTATTTTAAAATTTTGTAAACAAAAAATAAAGTTAATTATAACAACCTTCAAATATTCAAATTATATACTAAATTTATTACAATTTTTGTAGAGTAAATGGTTGTAATGATACAAAAACAGTATTATTTAAGGTACACACACAGTTCAAAGAAAATATTTTCAGCTTTTCTACAGCCATTGTCAGCTTTGATCAATATATAAAGATTATTATTTCACAAAACAGCCTTCAGTAAAATACTGTTCTTCATATCTATTGATCAAAGCTAACGACCACTGCAGAAAACTTGAAAATGTTTCTTTGATGATAAACTTCAGCTACCTTAACATACTGTTTTGTGTAATTACATGATGTCAAATTTGTCATTTTGATGGTTTTTATTAATTAATTTTAAGGAGAAGTACAACATGCATTATGTGTTTGTTGTATTTTACTTTGCTTGAAGCTTTATAATTATATAAGTTTTGAAACTAATCATCTTTATAATAACTAAAAAGACAATTAAGAAACAAATCAGACTAAGATACATTCTTAATGTATTTTCTTAGTCTGTGTTTTACTTCAAATAATCAATGCAACTATTTCATTCAAAAACCTTAAAAACAGGTTAAGAAAAGTGTAATTTTAATTTATATTCATTATTAAAATACAGTTTTTAATCTTAAATTAAATGTTAATATTTGAACAGACTCAAACTCCTATGTAGTAATGAAGTTTACATACAACTCATTGAGGTTCTTCAGTTTAACGCCAACTTTAGAGAGGAACGGTAGCATTAAATTGAGGTTACAGAATTTGTATTTTTTTTTTGTAATACTTTTTAACTTGTCATAAGATATTCTTATAAAATACTAGAAACAGCCCGCAAAAATGTACTTCATAACTATTCTGTTTTCATTTACAATGGAATTCAAAATTAATATGCATATATTAATAAAAATAAAACATCAATGATACATAAATCTCCTTTCACAAATAATTTCAAAGCTAATTTACATTTGAAAAATGCTTTCAGAAGCTGAATAGGAGAATGTATTTAATAAAATGCATAACCAATACTCTTGATTGAACTTTGGAAAAAAAAAAAAAGTCTTCAAATTGAATCCAGAAAATTGCATTAATTTCAGTGTGAAAAATCGAATTCTAAGTCTGTCAGGCTATAATTATTTAATGAAAGACAAATAACTTACAATGGTTTACTTGAAACGATTCTAAAACAGAAAACAACTTGGATATGCATTTATCTTAAAATAATTTTTTGAAAATTTAATTTATTCTATGCTTTGCAGAAATTCTTAACAGAAATTGCATTTCTTAATTATATTAAATAATAATTAAGCAAGAGGAAATTCACATAACAATGGTAGTAATAATTTTTAAATTAAAAAATTGCAGTTAAAATTAATAATAACCTCTTAATTTATTTTAACTGAACTTAAAAGCTACACATAAAGTTTTCAAAAGAAAATTTACAGACACCTTAATTTATTTCCACATTCTTTCTTAGTAAATAGTGTTTAAAAGGAAGTTTTTAAGATAAGATATAGAACTTTTGAATGAAAAAAAACCTAACCTCTTCATCATCCAGAGCATCATCAAACCAAATGGCAAAAGATTCCATACTATCAACCACAATCACATATAACAAATGTAATAGACTTAAGATTGTGGATAAGTGGGTGGCAGCACCATTATCAGACAATTTATCAATTAGTACAAAGATTATTCAATAATAGAAATAAATTGATACCAATTGATAAACTATTAAGCATCACAAAACAATGAAAAGAATGGCATCAAATAGTTTTAAGTACATTTGAATTACTTCAATTTAGAGTGAATTTATATTAGAAATAAACAAACAAATGACAGGTTTTTTACAGGAAATAAAATCTGCTTTATTAGACTACAAGTTATAAAAATCTTATTAATTTAACTTAAAAATTTAATTATCTCAAACTAAAAAAAAACTTTAAAAAACTTACCCTATTAACGTTAAATATTATTAATTAAAAAGTATAACTGAGTATATTCAAATGGCCTTTTTTAGATTCAACTTTCTTAAACCTGTTTAACCTGATAATGCTAGAATAATAAAAGTTAGAGAATCAAACAACACAAATTACCTACTTTTAAAACATTTAAAGTAAAATATTAAAACAACGTATTTTTATTAAGTTTAAGATTCTTTTTTTTATGTAATTGATAGAAGAAAATCAACTACAGCACTAATTAAACTTAACAGTTTATTATAATTACCATGGATTTTATGACCTGATTTGTATCTACTAGACAGCTTTTTATTTTTGAAATAATGTTAAATCATAGGTAAACTTGTAGCATTTTAATTATTTTTAAATCGTACCAATTAAATCTGGTTCTGCACATTCAGTATTAGCCAAATGCCGAGACGTTCGGCCAATACAGACTGGAGTGGACAATTTATTCACAACTAATAGTATACTGTGCGGAATCAAAGGGGACAAATAAGTAATTATTTGGCAATCTGAATACCAAATGTGTGAAGCCATCTTAAAAGAATAAAATGTGATTTAATTAACTTTTTCAAATTATGAAAGCAATTATCAATGTAATTATAATTAATGCTCTAAATGTCAATGACAAACAATCAATAACAAGTGTCACTTTTACATAATTAGGATATTTAATTCTTAAATATACCTAGGATTTATTAAATGAAAATATAATGAAAACATTACAGAAATTACCAACTTTTATGAAATTTATTTAGTTTAGAATTGTTAATTTTAATTAATAAAACTAGAAAAAAAAATTATGAATATTCCATACATGAATCACTTGAAATATTATTCTAATTTCATTTATCATAAATTTTATAAGCTCAATGTATATTATATACTGTACAATTCTAAACACACAGATGATTTAATACAGTATAACATAATGTTGACATATTTTTCATAATTTGAAAAAGTTAATTAATTATGATAAATACAGTATAACATAATATTAGAACTAGAAAATAATAATAATTTAAAAAAAAAAAATACCGTTATACACCATCAATTAAAATATAGTTTACAGTAATTAGATTGAATATATCAACTATATAAATACCTTTCACGTAGGCCAGAATAATTAATATCATTTTCAGATATTGATTTACTCAGTCACGATATGAAAGAACACGATAAGGAGAAGCGTGTTTAGTATGGATGCAATTCATTAATTTATTTCACTGTAAGCTTACAACACTTAACATTCGTCACTTAAACTATGCACAGATTGTTTCGTATCGCAGATTATATAATTACAGATGGTCAACGACCTATTTGAAATAAAGCTGACCTAAGTAACGCAAAACGCAATGAGAGAATGGCATTATATCGAGCCATTTTTGAATATACTGTACTGTATTCGCTTAACGTGTGTGACGTCATCGTTGTGTGATGCAATTTTCGAATTCCTTTACGCACTCACTAATGACAGTATATAGAATATACTGTATACATTAGAAGAGATCGATTCGCGATAAGACGTTGGGTATGACTCACGTGTCTTTTTTTTTCTGGAAATAAATCATCACTTGTCACACTAACTTACTAATTTCCACACACGGATGAGTCAAATCAAAACTAAAAAAAACTTATTTTCCTTTCGCTTTTAATTATGATAAATACGCTCCACAGAATAATTCAAATTAAAAATCAAATCTTTATCGGGAATAATTAAAATATTTAGTGCCTTTAAACTTTTCGATTTGTTTATTATTTTAATTA